GTCGAGCTGCCCGAGATTCACAGAATTGTTACAGAAAATGATACATTTGTGTGATTTATATCGTTATCAGGACGATAGAATTCTTATATTGGGATATGAGATTTTGGTCATATCGCACAGCCCTACCTGACTTCATACATTCGATTTGCTGCAGAATTATTTCCAACAGTATCCAATGTTAGTTTTTGTAATAGGTATTGAATTTCAGCCCTTGAATTCAGCACTTACAAAATGACACGTGTGTTTGCTTTGAACGCGCATCAATTGATAGTTTTCCCAAATCATTGTCCTTGGGTAGTGATGAGGATCACTTTGTCAGAGCTGTAGAGAGACTCTCAGTGTCACTGCCCATTGTGCATCACACATAATGGGTCTTTGTGAAAACACATTGTTCAGGTTTACAATTTACATAATGCTTTCACCTTGGCATTTGTATCCTTTAGTATGTGTGATACAAAAGAAAGCACTTGTACCACACACAGCAAACCACACAAATATTGCACAGGTAAGGTCAGGCAGCCTGTCTGGCCTTACACAGCACAGAGACTAACAGGACTATTATGGTCCATGCTTGTCTTTCGCACAATACTGTATATACAACAAAACAGAAAAAAGGCTGTTTGCCACAAGTCAAGCTGGGAAATGTCTAGTTCAGGAAGTTTTAGGTCGACTAGCAAAACATGTCATTTGACTCCTGACCAGGAATCTAACCATACTTTATTTCATTTCATTTTAGTTTAGGAGAAAGGCAGAAGCTCGTGACATTCGCAGTGTAGTTATCTGTAGTAATCTGCTGCAGCATGACAGCTCCCACACATGCTGTCCAATCCAGTATTTATGGTTTTCTCAATGACTCAATGATAAACAGCATAATTATTTTTGAAAATAAAAATTATTATGTCACTAAACATAAATATTTGTAGTTTCTAGACAATATAAATCCTGATAGACAGTAAAAAGCCATTTTTCTATTAGGTTTTAAACTCTAAGTGCAAAACAAAACTTCCACATATAAATTAAAGCCATTCTTTGGTTCATCAAGCAGCACTAATATCTGCGCAAACAATATCACTTTCACCAAACGGGACAATTCAAAGTCCTAACTAAAGCTAAGATATGGCTTTTGTAGTCAAATAGATAAATAAAACAAATGGTTACTTTGCTTTGAATTAGAGATGATTTCCTGTAGTGAAACAAAAAGGAAATTCTCAGTGATTGAATAGTCAGTGCTACATCAATAAGGTTTCAACATCAATCAATTATTTTCATTGGTGGGAGGAACAGGCTATCCGTCCGTGTCTTTACCGTCTTGAACTCATCTAACCTTGTGCCTTCGTCTCACTGGGATGTAGGAACAGGTCATGGTCAGTCAAGCTAATGCTTGTGATTCCTCCAAATATGCCACTTTGCATTTCAGAAGCTCCCCACAAGTAGCTCTGCTAAAAGTACACTGATGGAAGCAACGGCAACCTGCACAGAGCTGATGAGCTGGGCAGCAAGTCAGACACATGAACAGCGTAGAACATCTGGTCAGTTTAAAAAGAAATGTTATGGAAATGTAGACTTCATTTCAAAGAAGATCTCAGCAAGGCTGCATTTCTCTATGAGGATGGCCAACTCAATAACAAATGGTAAGCTGACTGGTCTGCAATAGGATGTTACACAAGATTTTCTGCTTAACGCTTGTTTTAGAGAATGAGAATATCAGAATTGTCAGATTTCATAATTTCTTGTCTAATCTAATCAGATCATTGCAGCAGACAACCAGTGACACCTTGTGACAGTGTCACTCTCACATGTGAGGCCTCCTGTTCTTAATCAATACAGAAAAATTAAAAGGGGAATT